ATGCTGCAGACAGCTGGGAAGCTGATTTTCAGATAAGAATTCTATACTGCAACATGCATGTGGGTGCTAGAAGAAGAACACAATTAAATCGATTAATGCATCAAAAATACCAAATCTGAAAAAGCTTTAAGAACTGAATGTAAGTGTTGAGCTGAGTAGGTAATTTACTGTAGCATTGGGACCCGTGATAGGATTTGTCACTCATGGCAGATGGCAGCACATTTTAGGTTAAAAGGTATGTGAGAGATTTGAATTCCTTTGGTTTTGCCATCCCCACACCACTCCTTTTCAATTTTCCTTGGAATCCTTATTACTCCCATTGCACAGTACTTCTCTGACCTTCCTTCCAGAAGACATATAATTTTGGGTAGACAAATCAAAACCAGAAAACTCTATATTCTGAATTCTATACAGCGTTGCAGAAACACAGTTTTTTACTGAAGAAAATCAACTAAAGGACTATGTCAGCAGTGAAGGTGGCTGCTAGCAAAAGTATGCTTCTCAGGAGTTTGAAGAGAAGCAAAGGTGAATCAATGTAATTTAGATGCCAAAACTGTGGCTTCCTTCATAAAGCTTGTTTCACTCAGTCAATGCACCTGCTTTGTTGCTGTAACTAGTTGGGAGTTGTTCAGCCTGGAGAAAAAAAGGCTCCAGGGAGACCTTATAGTGGCCTTCCAACACCTGAAGGAGCCTACAGGAAAGCTGGGGAGGGACCTTTTACAGAGACATTTAGCAATATGATTAGGGGTAATGGCTTTAAATTGAAAGAGGGGAGATTTAGGTTAGATATTAGAAAGAAACTCTTCACAATGAGGGTTGTGAGACACTCAAAACAGGTTGCCCAGGGAAGCTGTGGACACCCCATCCTTGCAAGTGTTCAAGGCTAGGGTATCTGGAACTTTAAGCAACCTGGTCTAGTGGGTGATGTCTCTACCCATGGCAGCAGTTGGAACTAGATCTTCATTTCCAACCCAGACCATTCTATAATTCTATGTTTCTATGTCCATCACAGGAGTATTTTGTGTGCTCCTGTCCCCAACACTGGAAGATTCTCCACACTCATAATGTAGACATAACCTAAGCCTGGTTTTAGTAACTGAGGCCAACATTTTCACTTGAAAGTAGTCTCTGAATCAACACACCTACAAATATTTATAACCTGACTTAAAAGTTTGACTCCTGAGATAAACAATGTTTGGGTGTACTCAACACTTTTAAGAACTGGGCCACTTTAAATTGTGCTCCAAAAAGCTCATATTTGAAAAGGTGCAAACTGCACATTGCAGGACTTGACCTTTGGATAGGAAGTAAAAATTGTGAACCGAAATTCAACACTTAATTTCTTTATACCCCACAAATGAGGGCATTCATGGTTCTACAGTGGTAGTGGCAACCTCAATGGTGGAATTCCTATGCCATCAATCCATGGAAATTTTGCATGAATGCTTTGTTTTTCTGCGCATAAGGAAGTCCTGAGATAGTCACCTATGTGAAGAGGCAATTACTTCCTTACTTATTTTAATACAGCTAAGCAATTAGAGCCTTAACTTGTCTTGCCCTGGAGAGATTTGACTGCCCTGCCCCTGGACCACACATCTTACCAGCGGGCAACTCAAAGCAGTCCTCCTTGCTTTATTTTTTTCTGTTGAACCACATAATCAGTCAGTATAAAGTGACAGCACTTACCATTTCATTCCATTTGCAAATGTACTCGAGAATCATTTCATATTTCCTTCCAGGTAACTCATAAAGCCATTGAGCAGCACTACTCCTTCCAGGTAACTCATAAAGCCATTGAGCACTATGCCAAGAACAGATTCCTGTGATTTCCCACTAGAGCAACCTTTGAGATGGATATTCCCCAACTCTAATCACTTTTCAAGATGTTTCTGTTACTCGTTCTTAATCCATCTGGTAACTCTGGATTACACTAATTTTACACACTGTTGTTTAATTTTGGTTTTAACCACCATGTCAACAAGACTAAATAAATGTCATAAAGCAATCTAAGTTTACCAGCGATTTCCGTCAACTTCATTTGTAATCTTGGAAAAAGCAGTATCAAGTTTGTTTGAGAAGATCTATTATCTTTAAGAACTTGCTGGCTGGCATTAGAAATTATGTCATCTTTTCATTTTTGTTTCAGGGCATAAAGTTTCAACCTTCCAATGATTTTGCTTGACCTATAGTTACCTGGATCATCTTGTTTTAACCTTTAAAAATTCTGGCACAACATTTGCTTTTTCCAGTTCACTGGAACTCCCATTGGTATGCCAAGATTTGTTAAAAAGCAATGATAATGGTTTAGACAATTCAACTCTATTGATAAACTCCCATGCAAGTTTTCTAGCCTGACAGAGAATTAAGGAGGAAATATAATAATTGAATTTCACTTCCAATTTCAGTTTTAGAAGAGCTGAACTTCAATTACAATGAAGTAGATGCCAACATCAGTATCTTTGATATAATGTTTCAAATAATCTCAAGTGCTTTTGTGCCTTGCAGTTACAAAATACTTGAAAGATTACAGGGACAGTCTGCTTTTTATGTAGCTGGTCTCTCTTTCTCCCACCATTTGTCTACATTTTACGGGAGAGCCTGGAAGTTTTACAGGATAAGATTAAACAGATATCTGTGAAAAAAACATACTGAATTTTTGTACAGTCTTATAACCAACCTTTATGGCTGTGATTGATACAATTTTTAGAAGCTTTGGATTCAGCTAATGTTAATAAATAATCAACATAATAACCTTGTTTTTGACAAACTAATCCTTAAAACAGTAGAGATGTGAACTTAAACTGTAGTTCTACACTAGCCCTCTAAATTTGGCATGCATTGTTTCTGAAACTATTAATTAATTGTGGTTCATCGGCTGTCACATCTTATGAAATTTACACTAGCAGGTGGAAAGACAAAATGCTGTGTAACAATTTTTGTCTTATTACCCTACTTCATCTGAAAATACAGATATAAAAATTTATTAGGAAAAAAACAATGACAGTATGAAAGAAAATTCAAACTAAATTTAAGAAGCTTTTCAAACACATTGGTGGATTCATCATTGGATACAGCTCTTCTGTGCTTAATGGAATTCCTAGCAAACTAAGGTATCTCTACTAAACCAATACCTTACAACTAGATCTAAATATGCTCAGTTTGAAGGATATTTGAATATTTCTTCAAATATTTAGCCTCAATTTCTCTTATATGGGTAAAATAAAACCGAACAGTGGAAATAAAATGTTTCTGTAAATGCTTCTAGTATGTGTGGATTAAACAAGAAAAACATTTGGCCTTTTACATAAGAAGATTAAAGCAGTACAACTTGCAATTAATATGAAAATTCATATGTGAAGTTCTCCCTAAAATGGCAAAAGTGATTGCTTGCTTGTGGGAGACAGGTTACCTAGAACAACTTTTTCCTGACATTTGGCTGATACCACTGTTCTTGACTGACTTTATAAAGGCTCCCTCTCAATCACTACTTAGCACAACCACCTACTGATCTATCAAGAGAAAGAAAAAAAGGCTTTTTTTCTTTTTTCACATCAAGAAAAGTTAATGTATTGCTATATTTTTATGTAGAATCTCCTATGATAGAAATATGACAATGTAAAACAATTTCAGGAATCTTTAGGCTTCAATTACGTCTATCTGTGCACAGCTCTAATGTTCAAAAGCCTTATCTGGTGTGGTATCCAATAGTTTATTTTTAATTTTAGTTTTGTTGTTACAAAATGTTAGTTTTGTTATTTCCTGTTGTTCTTTTAAATCTGATTTCATGACAGAATGAGACTATTTTTTATAATCTCCATTGTGAGAGAGAAGGATACAATGTGAGAAAATAGCTACTAACACACACCACAACTGGACTCTTAAAGAATGAATTTAAAAGACCTAATCCTGAAAAAGTATTATTAATCTTCTTTCCAATTTCAGTGGAGATTTCTTCCATAGAGATTTGGGTTCCTGTGATTTACATAGTCTTGGAAGTGAAAGCAACAAATCAAAATACAGCATCTTCTACCTGATGGGATTTGGTGCCCTATTCAAGACATCTCTCAAGTCTGGAGGGCTTATTCTAAAATTGGCTTCAAGTCTTCTGACAGAAATACATGTTTTTTCACAAATTTGTTTTCTTTGTTATTTTCAGCATGTGAAACACCAATTATTTCTAGTCAATTCTACTTCTACCAACCCAGAATATGGGGCCAGTACCAGGTAAACTGTGATCCTGGCTATAAACCCTTTGTCAATGTTTGTCACATCCTCTATCATCTCTGCACTAATAGAACATTTTCCATGTGTGAAGAGAAGTCCTACTTTTTGCAGTTAAAGAGTGGAATCAAGGCTACAAAAACAAAATAGACCCTAAATTTAAGTTTCAGTTTATTATTTTTTTTTTAAGGAAAGATGAAACTTTCCTTCTGAAAGGAAAAATCCTGTAAAGGCATTATTTTCTTATATGAAAACAGATAAGAGATGGAAGTGGTTCTAAGACAGAACAACACTGACACTTATGCAGCTCATGTTGCATACATAATTATCCCAAAGAAATTCTAAACCATCAGATGATTGCACACGAATTTCCATTTACAGCCAATATCATACCAATTTAAACAATCTCTCTTTACTTAAAAAGTATCTGACAGAACTATTTCTAGTAACTATGAGAAAAGGTACACAATCCATGTGCTTTGTGCCTGTGCTGCCAAAAATGACTAGTTGAGACGATACAACTCATTGGTTAACATAACCCTACTGATTTCCTTGTTTTGCCTAACTGCAGTGTTTACTTTGTACCTGTGTATGTTTGCACTTGTATTGTGTTCAAGACCATGATTTCAAAGAAACATGTATTTGTACAAGAAATATTTAGGCTGAGTTTATCAGTCTGAAACACTCAATGCAACATTCCTAAAGCAACACTATGCAAAAAAACCAATTTTCCTATTTCCTCTATGACCTGAAGTTGTGAGGAAAGACAGAAAAAGTACCTGATTCCTGGAGATAACGATACACCAAGAAATTCACTTCGTCACTGGTTATGCTCATCTTAGCCCAACCCCAATATGATGAGGTTTACGAGAAGTGTGATCCACGCTCTGTTCAAAAGGAAAGAAAATAACAGGTTTTGTTTTATCTTGACTTATTATGAAATTTGTTATCAAAATAGAGGTGGGGATTGTTAAGGTATTTAATGATCTCATGCAGTTAGCAGAGCTGTTACAACCCAATGTGAGGAACTCATTAAATACTGTGAATCAAGTACTCAAGCTGTACTGTACCTATTATTATAATTAAAGAGCAGTATTTAATGTATGTGAGAAAGTCAGAAAGAACATTTTAAATCTTGGAAGCCTTTGCAAATGTCAACTTTTTTATTTCTGTGTCTTTACTATAGGTTCTTTGGACAGTCCTTTTTACTGTGTGAGCATTTTCTTTTCAGAACTGCTGGCAATGACAGTCACGTATAACACACAAAACAGAATGCTTTTTGCAGCCCCAAGTTTGTAATGTAGTTTTCTGTCCAGTAGTTCCTCCACTGAAAATACAGATTCTTTCCTTACAGAAAAAATTCCTGTTAAATAGAAATAAATCTAAATTTAAGATGAGATTACAAATTTTATTAATGGGAGGGGAGGGGGATGGAAGGAGGAAGAAGGAGAGTGAAAAAAGAGAGAGAGAAAAAAGAGCCATGTACCTTGTGCCAACAAGGAATACACATGTTTTGGCATTATATAAAGTTATAATGTCATAATGTCTCTGCTGATTAATGGTGAGCAAGAATTAAACTTCAATTATTCACTTAAGTAATCATAACCTTTAGGATGACAGTTTAACATTACTATTTTGGGCATACACTCTGATAATAAAAACAGTGGTTTTAGATGATAAATTTGTTTTGAACATTTTCCATTCAATCTTGATGATTCATCTCTGTTTGGGAATCTGACTTAAGTAGTTTGGTTTGAAAAGCCCTAAGTACTTCTCAGACATAAACTTTGCAGCTTTGTCAGCCACACCATACCTATAACTGATGGTGCAAAGAGTTGGATGCAGCAGCACACGCTACACTCCAGTCGCGTACTACAGATGAAAGACCGTAGGCGTTCCCGTTTGCTTCCATTTCCCTTATGTCTCTTCTTGGCAAGCGGAAAGGCCTTTGTTCATCGAAAACCTCTTCAGTAATTCCTGTTGCCTAAAGTAGCACCTGCTACTGCAGGCAATGCTGATCGACTACAAGTTTCCCCTGCTGATGATTTAAACCAGCAGGTCACTCATGACTGTAACAGATGTCTCTGCATATTTATGTAAATGGAGGTCTTCCAAACCCTGGTAAGCCTTTTATTTTCCTGGGCTGCTATTTTTCTCAATGGCTCGGACGCTGCTTTTCCCTAAGAAACCACGGCTTGCTAATTTGGGTGACATCTTCCTCAAGTATTCTAGTCTTTCATATTACACAAGTATTTCACAAGAAGAAACAAAGTTCTGAAAATCATGCAGTCTCAGTGAGAATAACTTCATTTACTTTGAAAGGATGACCACTTCCTGCTAAGATTCTGCTGAGGACATCAGTTGTATCCAACATCCAGTCCTGTCACACATGCCACGTATCACCCAGGGAAATCCATTTGGTTTCTTTCCTCCTCAACCCCTCATCTGTAAAATGGGCCCAAACTTCTCTGCCATGGAGATCAGGAGACTGGAAGCACTGGTAGCTTTAAAGGCTTTAGTTACCATGTTTGGTGGCTGCAGGCAGTAAAAGGACCACTTCCAGTTCAATTTCATCCATACTACTTCCAGAGTAAACAGACTTGGTTCCGCATAATAAATACAGCCCTGTACCTCCTTCTGCATAATCATCAGCATGCAACGAAGAATGAGACAGACATTCATGGCAACAGGTACAGCCATTTCCATCCTTGTCTGAGTATGTCAAATACATCTGTATTGCTGCTATGGCCATGATAACAATACATCAAGAAATTCTGATAGCTATGGGTTTAAAAAAACACCCAACTTAACACTTCTAAAAGCATTTCTAAAATAGCAGTTTTACAATTTGGTGGTAGGAAAGTTGGTAAAGATGAAACTTCTTACAAAAATTCAGTTTCAGCAATGACGTACTTTGTGGTAAAATGAACTTTATTAAAAAAAGAATCAGGAAACTATGAATGCTGTTGCTTGATGCATTCTGCTAATTTAAGACATTAACATGGTATTTCCCACATACAGAGGGGTGCTTTGGAAAAGGGAAGGGAAAGGAGGAGTGTTATTCTTTCTTTGTTTTCCTAAAGACAAATTTCTTAAATTAAAACCAGAGAAAATCAGCATGACTGCAAAATAAGTAGTTTGAGAAGCGTAGAAAAACCTCCACACCATCTACCTATGTATCTGAATCCCAAGCACACTGAGTAGCTGGATTTACAATACTTTTTCCCTGAAGTCAGTCAACAGGAATTACTTTGACATATGTGCCGGATCATATCTTTATACACATTGTTACCATGCCATAAATAACCAGATGATCCCCACACATATATTTAAGGTTTCTTCCCTCCCACAGATGCTAAAGCAGCAATCAGATACACAGCTGTAAAGCTTTTACCCATCCAAAGTGATACACAGATCTTGGCTTTGACCCAGGGAAATCTATTCATTACAAATTCGGCTGAGCTACGAAAGACCATACTCAATTTCATTAATGTTCTGTTTTATTTCCTTCTTCTCCACAGATAAACACACCAAATAAAAGAGGCTACAGAAGACACGGTGGGGAGGAGAGGGACATAATTTTGTGTATCTCCAAGTCTGATTCATAAGGAACAAACAACTAGCCTTCTCCTCCATACAATTTCTTTTTAATGTAGAAATGCAAACTTCTGTAGAAACCTTTAGTTAACATTGTGATAGATTTATTTCTGCTAATTGATGGTCTCCTTTTGTTACTGGAGACCAGTATTACTTAGATTAATCATTTTTTTAAAGGAAAAAATACAGCTTATAAACAATAACAATGAGCCTTTGGAAACTTGTCACGTTTAAGCCAGGAATAACATCTTAATCCTTCACAATGTCAAGAGGATTTACAAAAAGCATTCAAACATGTGTTTGAATTTTCTTTACTTGAAACATTTTTCCTGCACGCAACAACACATAATGAAAAGTTCTATTTACTTCAGCCTTGCCTTAAAATTTTGGGATGTGATCCTTCAGATATTTGAGAATGTCCAAATATGTGAGCTGAGCCCACTACGACTTCCCAAATTATAATGGATCCCAAACATTCAAACCCCATTGATGGATGGGTTGTCAAGATTGTGCAAAATTAAAAATTTTAACACTTATTTAAATAAACACACAGCTCTCAGTGCTGCCAGGCTAGGTTTGCAGAAATGCTTCCCATACAGAGATAAAAAGCTGGGTTATTATCTCAGATGTGCTATTGCTGTGCTTCTAGGGCTGCTCAGCTTTCGCTGAACTGAGTCGTTCAGCTGGAGTTGAGCTGGCTGAGCAACACTAATGCTGCAGCACGCTCTCCTGTGCCCTGGGCAACCAGGGCAGCTTATTTCCTGGAGTACCCCACCAGACCTGATTTGGCCCTGTGCACCAAAACACCACTGTTTTCAAATTGAACCTTCCTGAAGCACTGGGAATCTTGCTAATGGACCATGCAAGTAGCTCTGGAGACAGCAGCCTCATTTATAGCTATGGTCCAGCATGGCACTTAACAGGTCTACCAAGAATAGTTTATTTACATCCCATCCCCTTACTCAAGGATTGCTCTTCCTGAGTCCAGCATATTTTAGCACTGCTGCCATAAGTAAGGGAGATTTGGCTGAAGAACCAAGGGAAAATAAGTTCTTCAACTTTGAAACAATATCTAAAGACACAACTCCTCTGCCTCTCTTCTAAATCAAGCTCACAGGGTCCTCAAGGGCTGTGTCCTGCTCTACAGCCTAACCTCAGGGCAGGGAACAGCTGAGGCTATTTCTGTAAAGAAATTTACATTTGCTTCTTGAAGTAGCATTGTCATCCACAGGGACTGGGAGTTACCAGTCAGTTTTCCCCTCACGATGGCAGAAACAGGCCAGCCGTTTAGGGGAAACACCTAAACTGAAACCTAAACATGAAACCTAAACAGGAAGCTGGGTACTTCCCATTTCTTCATACAGCCCTGATAGATGAGAAATTAATCAGATGGCTAGTCTGGCCCTTGTCTTACCTCCTGAAGAAATCTGCAAGCTCTGGTCTGCTTTAAATGAGTGCTGAGCAGTCTACAGCTTCTTGGGAAGACTTTTTTTTTGGTTACTATTGTTAAGTATACAACCCCTCCTCAAAAAAAGCAGCAACCCCAAACATGCACATTTTCATTTATCTCCTGGAGAGGTTGCACTATTTACCTATATATTTGACAAGACTAGGTAAAAATGTCTTTTACCAAAGGAAGTTTTAATGACAACAACATTATCGTTAAAACGATAGGGGGTATTGAGAAATTGTGCATTTGCTTTTGGGGCAAAAATGAGAGGTTCCATAACAACGAAAACATTCAAGAAAGTTCAAATATTTAATGCTGTCAAATTGATCCCCTGCCCTATGGGAACGAGAGTTCTCATTTTCTTGTCCAAGGCACCAAGTCATCTCTCAGAAACCACTTAAGTCTCCCCATCTCAGAGAATGTGAACACAAAACCTAAAATATCTGTGAAGGCACCATGACAGCACAGCCAAATCAATGTGTTACTGTTTCACATATCCACTTCAGTTTAATGAAAAATAACATTTCCCAAAGCCAGAAGCCGCTTCTCACAAAACGAGTCACTTAGTCCATCTCAGCATTTTCTGTTGAAAAATACTTTCATCAGAAACTTTCAGTGAGCCCTATGCTTCTGTATTTCTAGGCTGTGTCTTACCATAGAGCCAGAACAGAGACAGCAGCCAGCAGCTCTTCCCCAAAGGCTAATGAGCTCTGCTTGGCCCACACCACTGCATTCCTCAGTCTTGGCTTTTATTGCAGCTGTCTCTTCTTGAGGAGCAACGTCAGTATGCTTCTTTCCCAAAATGCAAAAAAAGAACTCCTGGAGAGGGAAAGTGTCCCC